GGGTGGCTGCAAATTACCTCCTCACCCCACCCCACATTCCCTCCTTATCCCCAAAGCCACAATAAAATATAGTTTGTGCTTTTTTTGTTTTGTTTTTCCAACTTTTTTTTTTCTTTTTAAAGCATATTGAAAAAGTGAATAGATTTGTTAGAAGGCTGAATTCCTGACTGCAGGTGCAAGCCTGGCTGTTGTGACCAGGAAGCTGAGCCAAGCCAAATACATGGTTTGTGCTACTCTGCCCCCTGAGCAGGCCCCCCAAGGCTGGTGCAGAGTCAATGCAGGCTGGGCAGCAAACCTTTCTGAAAATTACCTTGGGAAGGGTGTTCTTAGAAGCAGTAGATTGTGCAGTCATGTTCTTTTCATTTTCCCTGGTTCGGACAGTGTCTAGCACAGGCTTAGAGCAACACACACCCCAGCAGGACAGAGGCTGTGTATTAATTATAGATCCTGGAAGCCGAATATTTGCTATGAATGCCAAGCACACTCACTTTTCTCAAAGCATCCACTGCTTCTGGAACTCAAGTCACCCCCAAATTGAGGCTTACACTAAAAATCTTGTAACAAAATCCAGAATCCAAGATTTGTGTTCATCTTTGTACTCTCTTTGCCTCAATTCAGAATCTAACTAAAGTTAAAAATATAACTTTATTAAATTACTTGTCCAATGGATATCCCAGTTTCACTTTAGTATCAATTCCTCTCCCCAAAAAGAAAGTATAAACTCTTTTTCAAAGAGATGAGTCATAACTTCTTTTTACAGAAAGATGACACACAATCAAGGGAATGTACATGGTTCTTGAGCTTGAGCAAAGGTGGCACTGGCCCGGCCTTCAGCTGTGACTGGAAATTAAGGAGACTCAGGACACAGGGTCTCTGATCTCAGGGCAGCAGACCCCTGTGGCCACCAGGAAAGCCATCTCCCCTTGCAGATCCTGGTGCTGAATGAAGATAAGGTCTATTCTGAAGTATGGTTCAGCTCCAGGGTGTTCTGATATAGGAAAGGGGCCTGAAGGTGCAGAAATTAAGTCCCTTATGAGAAGCCTTCTCATCTCTCTGCAATGTCTGTATTCTGGGTGATACTCACCAAAAGGGATCAGCACTTTGCCCTCCCACTCCCCCACCCCCAAGATGACACAGAACACTGTCTGAATGCTGCTATTTGAAGGAGTGGAAGGGCAATCTCTGATATGTAGAGAGATTTGCAAAGCAAATTACCCAACAACATCTGATTTAATTCTCATAACACCCTTGACATATAGGCAAAGAGAGTACCACCACCACATTTATGAATGAAGGTATCAACTCCCCTTTTGTGAGTTGTTTACGTCTCCCTTCACGTGATGATAAGTGGGACATTGTTCAAGTGTCTTAGCCAAGTAAAGCTCTAGGGACTTTCTCAGAATTGGGCCCACCGTGTGGCAAGTGAGCCATGGAAAGCAGGGCCCAGTGGCTCCGCCAAAGCCCCTTGCATGTGGAGGCCACAGAACATCTCTACAGTCTATCTCACTGTTCATATCTAAAAATAGGGTTTCTATCTCCATCACCTTAATATGCCAGCATCACCGCCATTTCTCACAAAGGACAGGAATTACTCACTTCTAGGTGCTGGGACAGTGAGACAGAGTGGCACTGGATCTCCATTGGCTGGAGAGATGTTCACAGAGTGGTTCCAGGAAGCCAAGTGCTGAGGCTCCTCCTGCCACAAACCCTTTCCTGGGTGGGTTGTGTAAGCATGACTTCCTTATTAATCCCTTTCTCTTTAGACCTGGACTAGAGTGCTCTACATACGTATCATTGAAATCTCACAACTCTTGGAGGCAGGTGCTGTAATTATTGGCATGGGTGAAACAGAGACTCCCAGAGTGTCTCAGGGTCACACAGCTCTCAGGCAACGGGGCCTCGATACCAAGTCAAGTCAGCCTGCTTTATCTGTAATTCCATGGTCCTAGGAGAGCACAACATGTGGCCATTTCTCTCAGGGAGGGAAGAGGGATTATAATTTAGGTCACAGAATCAGAGGCAGGATTCTAATTTTGGCTCCTGAGCCCCCCATCTTTTGCTTCACACTAGTGAAAACGCCCAGAAAGCCAATGTCAATGGAAAACTCTCCTTGGTAGAATCTCCAAGGTTAGAAATGCAAATCTCTAAAGAAAATTCATAGACTATTCTACCTTAGGGTTAGAGGAGAAAGTGGAGATGAGCAATGAGCCACAAACTCCAGGTTTACCTGAGTGGGAAGAGGAGAATGCCTGCGCTCTTGGAAAGCTTTGCAAAGCCTGTAAGGAAGAAAACAGCATACTAGGGTGAGAAGAGTGAGGACAGGCTCAGGGCTGGTATAGGGAGAATAGGGGCAAATATTCTGACGGTTTTGGCCAGAAGGATCCCAGTGCCAATTATCTTTTCTCCTGTGCTGAGGCCAGTGAGTAAGGCCACTACAAGACAAGCCTTCTTCACTACAATGCAATTCCATTTGGGCACCCATTTCCTGGTATGTGGGAGGGGGGAGGGGAGAGGAGGTTCTGTCTTCGAAGTCCCTGGTAATTGAGATCTCCTTGTACCCTTCTGGAAGAAGGAAACTGGGAACAAGTGCTGGCTACCAGCAAATTTTCTAAGCTGTTAGATACAAGTTTCAAAATTAGCTAGTGTACATCCCTTCTGTGCAGATCAGGACACTGAGGCCAGGAGAAGCAGAAGGACTTATCCAATGTTATAAGGCACCACTGCGGTATCTGAAGTATGGTAATACCACATATTGTGGTAGAGCTCAGACTCTGGACCTTTGTGAAGTGAGTCCAAGTTGGAACGGAGCTTGGGGCTCATGATTTAGCTTAATGTAAAAGAAAACACAACTAGACGCTTCCACGTTTGTGACACTGTCTCTCACCCCCAACACTCAAGTATTTCAGTGAAATGGAGTGAACGGGGCATTTGGACACAGCTGGGTCATGTGGGTAGTGGGTAAGGAGTGACTGAATAATTCCTATTTCTGCAAGTGGTCTGAGGCATCCTCTGGCTGGGAGGCGCAGAGTGTCCAGGCTGTGTGGTGACTCTGCTTTTGGGGCTCACCCCCTATACTTCCAGAGACCTTTTAGCCCCTTTCCTGTGATCAAGGGTGCAGAGAAAAGCCTGAAGTGTGACTCCCACAGGGTTCAACCAGTCCTGTGAGGTCAGCAAGCCACAGGCTGCCATGGGGAGCAGGGGCTGTGTGGCTGGGAGGTTACAGAACTGATCTCTGTTGGCACAATGTGGTCCTATACCTCTCAAGTCTACCTATTCTACAAAGAGGAAACTGAGGCAGAGAGGAGAAGTGATTCACTTCGGGAACTGCCCGTCCTAATTGCCCAGCATCATCACTATTGTTCCACAAACACTCAGCCAGCCCACATACCAAGAGGGACTCCCTGTGTCACCCCCATTGCCCCTTTAGAAAGACCCATCTCCACAAAGCGGAGTTCAATTAGAAGCAATTATCCGGATAATTCACCACAATCATTCCTGCACCCAGGTCTCGGATTATTTCTACTGGAAAATCAAACGGATGACTGCCCTCCACTTCTTTCTGCCTGTGTAGACACAACTCGAGACGCGCCCCAGCTTCTCTCAGGACCAGAGCTTTAAAGAGTGGGGCCTGTTGCTAGGTCTGCTTTCTCCGCAGCGCCGCATCCCCAGACGTACTGAAGCTGGACGGGGTTCTGGCCAGAGAGCGCCAGGGCCGAGGGCCCAGGAAGGGCGCCTGGGCAGGCGCTGTCCAAGCGGCCGAGCAACTGCTGCGAGCGCCTACCCCTCCCTCGCGGCGCCAGCACGCGGCCCCGCCGGGCTCGGCTCCCAGTCGCCTGCCACCGGCCCGCCGGGCACACGCCTGGGGCGGGATGGAGGCTGCGCCAAAGGCCGCCGAGGTGCCCGCGGCGGCGCTGAAAAACCAGGGAAGCTCCACCGGAGTCTCAAGCGCCATCACCCAACCCCGCCCCGCATCCTTCTTCTCGGAGGGTCTAGGAATATCCCAGAGCACTCCCTTCTCTACGCTGTCCCCGAGGCTGGTCCGGAAATAATCCTTGTGTAGGGGGGTAGGGGAGAATGGGAGGGGTGGGGGGCGATGCTACAGGTGCCAGAGGTCTTTCTAGGGACGTTCCTGCCATATACTCCCCTACAGCATGGTTCACAACCACTCCTCATTGCCGCTTCTCCTCAGACCCCCCCACCCCAGCCACCCGCCCACGCTCAGTGGTGGGGAGCACATCCTAGCTTTCAGAGCTGAATGGGACCTTAGAGATGATGCTCTCCGCTGCAGAAGAGGAAGTGGGGGCTCAGAGAGGATGCTACTTACAGGGAGCCACAGAGCATTGAGAGGACGCCTTGGGACTAGAACCCACGTTTTCACTTAGTCCAGCACTTTTTTCACTGTCCTGAACGGAGTCCTCCCCCACCCCAACTTTCTAAACTTCAGTCTTAATATGCTCCACTCCTAGGGTCAGCGAAGAACCCTAAGAGAATAACAGTGAGGAGGGGAAGAAAACAAGAGAAGTCGAGCCCCTCTCCCTCCTCACCTCCACACGGCTCCTGTGCCATTTTTTTCTGCCCAAACCCTTCCCTGCGCTTTGCTCCAAGTTCTAAGCAGAATCCAAGGTAACTTCACCCCAAATCTTTCCACCCATACACCTCAATTCCTAGAGCTATTTGTCTCTCCTGTGACGCCCCCTACCCCCTTTCTAAAGCCACCCCCGGCTGCAGCCCGCCCCGAGCGCGCCGCCTGTTTATTCAGCCGGGAGTCCGGCACGCGCCAGGCGCACGCACTGCAACAACAAACCCGGCTGAATGGAGAGTTTGCAAGGAGCGGGAGAAAGGAACGGGAGGGGGGAGAGGAGAGGAGAAGGGGGAGTTTAGGGAGTGGGTGGGAGGAGGAGGTAAGAGGAGGGGGGGAGTGGGGGCTGCAGCCGCTCGCAGCAGCAGCGGGGAGTGGGGGGCGAGGCGGGGCCAGTGCTGCGCGTGGGGCTGGGTGTCCCATTGAAAAGGCGAACGCACTCCAGCCGCCCAGCACTCTCTCACTTCTGGCCAGGGAACGTGGAAGGCGCACCGACAGAGATCCAGCCAGGGAGGGCGAGTGAAAGAAGGAAATCAGAAAGGAAGGGAGTTAACAAAATAATAAAAAACAGCCTGAGCCACGGCTGGAGAGACGGAGACCCAGCGCAAGAGAGCGCAGCCTTAGCAGGAGAGGAAAGAGGCAGAGCGCGCTCAGCATTGACTTTTGCTGCTGCTTCTGCTTTTTTTTTTCTTAGAAACAAGAAGGCGCCAGCGGCAGCCTCACACGCGAGCGCCACGCGAGGCTCCCGAAGCCAACCCGCGAAGGGAGGAGGGGAGGGAGGAGGAGGCGGCGTAGAGGAAGGAGAAAAAGCATTTTCACCTTCTTTGCTCCAGCTCTAAGAAGTCTCCTGGGAATTTTGTATATATATTTTAACTCCCCTCAGGACTCCTCTTCATCTTTCCTCTTTCCCTCGCTGTTCCTGCACCCAAGTCCTGTCTGTGTCCCCCTCGCGCGCCCCGCACCTCGCGTCCCAGCTTGCTCTGATTCCACGACTCCTTGGCCGCCGCTGCGCATGGAGAGCTCTGCCAAGATGGAGAGCGGTGGCGCGGGCCAGCAGCCCCAGCCACAGCCCCAGCAGCCCTTCCTGCCTCCCGCAGCCTGTTTCTTTGCCACCGCCGCAGCCGCGGCGGCGGCCGCAGCCGCAGCGGCCGCACAGAGCGCCCAGCAGCAGCAGCAGCAGCAGCAGCAGCAGCAGCAGCTGAGACCGGCGGCCGACGGCCAGCCCTCAGGGGGCGGTCACAAGTCAGCGCCCAAGCAAGTCAAGCGACAGCGCTCGTCCTCGCCCGAACTGATGCGCTGCAAACGCCGGCTCAACTTCAGCGGCTTTGGCTACAGCCTGCCGCAGCAGCAGCCGGCCGCCGTAGCGCGCCGCAACGAGCGCGAGCGCAACCGCGTCAAGTTGGTCAACCTGGGCTTTGCCACCCTTCGGGAGCACGTCCCCAACGGCGCGGCCAACAAGAAGATGAGTAAGGTGGAGACGCTGCGCTCGGCAGTCGAGTACATCCGCGCCCTGCAGCAGCTGCTGGACGAGCATGACGCGGTGAGCGCCGCCTTCCAGGCTGGCGTCCTGTCGCCCACCATCTCCCCCAACTACTCCAACGACTTGAACTCCATGGCCGGCTCGCCGGTCTCATCCTACTCGTCGGACGAGGGCTCTTACGACCCGCTCAGCCCCGAGGAGCAGGAGCTACTCGACTTCACCAACTGGTTCTGAGGGCTCGGCCTGGTCAGGCCCTGGTGCGAATGGACTTTGGAAGCAGGTAGGTTGCATTTTGGGGTGGGCAGGGGGGTATTCTTGCCTTCGTGCTCCCTCTGAGTGTCTGTGGAAGTGAGGATGTCTCCAAGGAGATGGGGGGATTTTTATTTAAAGGATTTGTGAAAGTTTGTCGATTTCAAGTCCTAGTTTGTTAGTTTCAGCACTGGCTTCTGAAAGTGGCTTTGCCCAGGTCTCCAACTAGTGAAGGGTAGGAGTGAGGTGAAGAGATGCTCGTGAACCGATTACTGGGACATGTCAAAA